AGAGCCGTTTAGCAGATTTGGAAAGCAAATTTGGAATCACGTCTGGAGACGCATCAGGAGGTATACATCGCATTTTATACGGCCACTTCGACCTACCATCCTTCCCTTGTTAGTTTCGCATGATTACAAGACAAGAATGGGAATAGTTAGTTTTTAAGCTCATAGCAAGAAGAATAGACTTTCGAATTTGCAGCTCCGTAATAATTAAAGATTAGTTCATTCATTCAGTATTTTTTAATGAATTGCATATTTTCAGCTCATCCCTGTTTTAATGAATTACCAATGAATGTACAGCTAACTATTGGAGCGCTTGTTGTCAACTTTCTTCAAGGAGCATCCCTTCGATTCATAGGAATGGACGACATCACTCCGAAAATGTTATACGTGGTAATGTAACGCATCCTGTGAATTTCTATAGTTCTAGGAATTTCTCATGGTGACTAGATCAATTACAGGATATTTTAAAAAAGTATCGCTGGTACTTCTTATTGAAAAGATATAAAAATGAAGAAGAAAAAAGACGTGATTTAGTAGAATTCAACAAAGAATTATATTCCTATGCGTTAAGCAATCAAGATTATCCCTTCATCCAGGTTTGAGGTGTCCTTTAATATATCTGTTGCCAGATGCCAAGAGGGAATAAGTGCCTTTTTTGTAGGCTGTCAACAATAGTGATATGTTCGGACCACCACGGTACAGCGATCTGAATGCTTTGTGTACGGCTGGGGAGCGGCGGAACGAGTTGGAAGTGAACACAGCGGTACAGTTCAATAATTACCCGTTCTGGGTTTTTGCTTTACATTAAGTACGAGGTAGATTATCTGAGGAGAAAAGAACCATCCCTGAGGAAGTATATCAAGCATCACTTGCTAAGATCATTCTTGTGTGAATGTTTAGTCAAACAAACATGGCTTTCGCAATTTCACAGTTCTGTAGAGCGTTGATGGTAACAAGTAACGCTGCTTACCATGCACATAGGCAAGGTATCGGTTGCGATATCGCATCCGCCAATTCTACAGCGGGAAAGGCATATGCACGCAAAGGAAACAAGCAGATACATATTTTTTTGAATGATGAGTTATGTGCTAAGCAGTTTGCTCTAGAGATTGTTCGCGCTCAATATCCTCAGGCTGGTGTCAGAGTCTGCGATCTGTCGCCCGATTCGCACGAATCGCGGACTCTTACACCAGCCTTATAAGGCGGGTTGAAGTCAAACATAGCGCTACCTCCCGGGAAGCACGAAGTTCAGGTAATGTCCGAAGTGAGGCTTTTTTCTGGTTATCGCTTCGGCATCCTGGTGATAGCCTTTTTTACAAGCTGTGACAAAAAAAGCACAGGTTAAAAAAACAAAATTGAAGCGATCAATGATGTTTTTGTGTCCTCTATGTACTCACTCTCTCGCCTACACTGTTCCCGCAGTCCGAAATATTATTAGTGAAAAATAATAACTATTATAGGAAGACTCTTCGACGCTTACTTCATTTGCAAGCTCTGATGTTCTTCTCCTGGATGAGCTTCCTACGGTAAGACACTTTTGAGAGACAAGATACAGTCGATATCCGAAAGTTGGGGTAGGTGTGGCACCGGAAGTGACGTTTTGATAGAAGTTGCGTGGATAAGCTGTTGCCAGCATGCTTTGCTGATATCCAGCGATGTATGTTGGAAGCAGCTTATCCACATAGCTTCTATCAAGTGCACGTCACTTCCGGTGCCACACCTACCCCAACCATCGGATATCGAGTAAACTTTTCTGAGAAGATTCAATCGGCCAGCTGATTCTAAAACAGGTGATGCTCGAAGCCTATCCGCAGCACCTCAAAGATGAGAGCCTAGTGTCGATGGGGTGGGTTCACAAGCGAATAGAATGTCGCTCATCGTATTTCTGCGTAAAGAAATCATTGATGAAAGCTAGGATTCAAGGGATAAGCGAGAGTAGCGCTAAGGCTGAATGTTTCAGAGTTATCGCATGTTATCATATCACATTCAGTCATCTTCTTGTGTCCGCTAATGAAATCAAGTCTCGCTCGCAATTTTTCATCGGAAGAGAATCCACAAAAACGAATAAATAGGCAGATATTAGAAAGAAAACCTCTCCCCGGGATTGCAGAGAGATCTAGGCTAACTTCTTCATGACTCATCGAATTTTCGCAGTCCACATCCATGCGTTCCTTTTGCGAATTATTCGATTCTGCGAGACCACATCTATGACACACCTAACTCCCGCACTGCCATTTCGTTTTGTTCCCAGTAGTTTGTCGCAATTACCACAAGCTTCTCCTGCTCCTTTTTGCGACTGAAGGTGTAGATCATTGT